GATATAACCTTACATATTTAGTATGATGTGTTACCCCTGTACACATGGAAAAAAATAAAAAATAAAAATGAAAAAAATTAACATTTCTAGACCAATATGGTTGTCCATTTCTGTACAATGCCAACTCAACACAGTAAATTGGGATGACTTTTTGCAAAAATTGGCAGCACTGTTAAAGGTTCCCAAAATTCAATTTATATATATATGTATATATATATTTAGATAAAAAGACTAATAATAGTATGTTATACATCAATAGCAGCAAAAGCTTTTCCAGGTTCTGCAGTCATCTGAACAAAATTATAGACATTCAGCACATTCCATTAAAAACAAAACAAAACAAAAAAACAAAGAAAAGAATAATATCCAGAAAACAGCAAAGTTATGTTGCTGTTGTGGTACCTGGGACCATTTTGTTTTATTAGCATCTTAATCATCATCTGGAAAGAGAACATTCTAGAGTAATATCATTAAATATAGCTCTGATAAAGCATGGTCCCTACTATGTATCATAAAGCAGGTATAAGATATTTTACATTCATAGAGGTATGATACAGTACCGTCCTACATCAATAATACTAGAATCAGTTTTGGTTTGAAATTTACTTTGTCTGCCAATAAGATTGCTGCCCCTATTTTTTTTAGCTCCTGTCACATGGAGAATTGTTTTCTATCTTTTCACTTTCAGTCTCTGGGCTTCTTTTTGCACTAGGTGTGTTTCTTGTATACAACATATTGTTGGATTTTGCTTCTTATTCCATTTTGCCAGTCTGTTTCTCTTGATTGGTGAGTTGAGGCCATTGACATTGCTGGTTATAACTGATATGTACTGACTTATTATTGACATGTTATTGGCCTTTTGTTGACTTGTTTTACTTTTTCACCTTCTCCTTTTAGTTTCTTGCCTTGCCTATTTGATTTGCTCTGTTGGGCCTCGTGGTGTTGTTGCCTTCATTGTCTTTTTCTAGGATCTTGTTTAGAATTCCTTGTAGTGCTGGTTTGGTATTCATGTAGTTTCTCAGGTGTTCTTTGTCGTGGAAGTGTCTTATTTCCCCATCCATTTTGAAAGAGAGTTTTGCTGGATACATCAGTCTAGGTTGGAGGTTGTTCTCTTTTAGTACTTGAAATATCTCACTCCAGGCTCTCCTTGCCCTAAGGGTTTGTGTTGAAAAGTCTGCTTTGATTCTAATGGGCTTTCCTTTATATGTGGTTTGTTTCTTTTCTCTTACTGCTTACAGTATTTTGTTCTTCTGTTGGGTTTCTGGGATCTTGATTATTATATGTCTAGGTGTAGATTTTTTTTAATTGTAGCTAGTTGGGGTCCTATATGCCTCAGTTATCTTAATGTCAAATTTTCCCCCTCTGTTTGGGAAGTTTTCTGTCATTAATTCTGCAAACAGCTTTTTAAAGTCATTTGTATTTTCTCCTGCTACTTCATGGATTCCTATGAGTCTTATGTTATTCTTCTTTGCATCATCTAGGAGTTGTTGGATCAATTTCTCATGATCCCCTACTGTTTCTAAGAGATCTCTCTTTTCATGGTCACTGACTGCAATCTCATCTTCTATATCTGAGAGTATATCTTCGCATTCTTTTATTCTGTTGCGTACTCTTTCTATGGAGTGTTTAATCTCCTGGATATCTGTTTGAATCTGTTTTATGGATTCCATTTCTTTCCTATGTTGGGCATTTATTTTTTCCATTTCTTTCTTATGCTGGGCCTTCACGGCTTCTATCATGGTCCTGAGCACATCTATTTTTTTGTCAGTTTCTGCTCTAGAGTCTTGAATCATGACTTCCATTTTGCTCACTATCTCTATGGTTATCTGGGAAATTAGTTCTGTTTTGAATTTTTCTAGAGTCTGATTGATCTGCTTTGTTACTTCCTGTGCTTTGAGTTCAGGGTGGCCTGGTGGTTCACTATCAGCCTTTTCATCCTCATTTGCCCTACTGTTTGCCATTGGTGAACTGGAAGTCTGTCCTTGTGTTTTGCTTAAGTGTTTTCTCATTTTTATTTTTGTTGTTGGACTGTTCTTGGTTTCATCTCTGGGTTATCACCCAAATCTTCCTGATATAGTTGCACCCTAGCTTCTGTGTCTCTAATGACCCATAGACATTCTCATCTTCATAACATCGGAGAAACAGCTCATCAAATCATCTGCAATGCTTTATCCCAACTGATACAATCAGCAACAGATTAAGATCAAGCACAACTTGGACATTGACCACCTGTGGTAGTCACTAGTCTATCACCCTTAAATCATTTGAATTAAATTGAAATCAAGAAGCAGTCCAGAACATGTCTGCAGTGAACAAAATTTCAATATAGTGTATTTACCATTTAATGGCTCAGACAGAGTGAGGATGCAAGACCCCTGGTCTCAGTTAGTTGATGGCTGAACCCCATGACGCTGACTGACCTCAGGCTGCAAGGCCCAGATTGAGTTCCCCAACCTTCTGAATGGTTGAACTCCACAATGCTCTATTACAGGTTTCCCACGCCCTTTCTTTAAAGATGTTCAAAGTTGGGAACTCAGAAAAATACCCTTGATGACCACCTCTGCCTCTGCAGAGTGGGTCCAAAGACTGACACAGGTCTGAGAGTGTGGGGGGGTGCACAACCTATGGGGGTTCAGGGGCCCCCATGTGCCTACCTTCTCGGCGCTTGAGCGTTGGTGGCTGGGTCAGGACTAGGCGTGGCTCTCCTTCCCTTGGTGGATCGGGGCCCAGCCTACCTCCTGTTCCTGGCTCAAAGGCTTTTATGAAACTTTCAAATAAGAAATTTAAGTTCTGAGTGTTGAGAATTTTTCTAGGGAATTATCAAGCTCAGGAGGGCTGTTGGCTGTTGAACATCCCAGCTTTTAGCAGGCTAGTCAGAAGAGTTGCCCCATGGAATTGTAATTATGGCTTTGAAGTATGGGCAATCTTGTAATACCGAATGCTTAATATGGTGGAGAGAATCTGTGCTAACTCCCCATTGATTGTTAGTGTCAGCAGTGAATTAAATTATTACACAATTAGTTTAAGAGAACTAGATAATTGATTGATATATGTAAAAGTGACACATATTTGGTCCAGAAAAAAAGCCACATGCTTTCTATTGCTTTTTTGGTTTTCTGTGAATGATTGGAACTGTCTCTGTTCTGATTTCTTAAATTCAAGAGTTATCTAGTTAAAACTTCCTCATTTTAGTAAATATATGGAAGGTGAATTTTATTCTGGTTGTATTTAGATACACACTAGGAATTCTGACATGTAGCAATTTTGTTAGTTATCCATATTAAATTATGTTAAAATTCTACTTAATGAGTCAAGACTGAACAAATTCTTTCTACCATCAGGAGAAACTCAAGTGCTCTTACTACTCCTATTAGCATTGTGCTAGAGATTTGAGAGATTCCTTTCAAGAAATGTAGGGCATTTCCAAGTGAAAGGAAGTGGCTTTTTGAAGCCCAGCAGAGGATAGTATAGTTGTACTTAGTTCTCTGAAGCAACCTAAGGCTGCATAGGCTTATTGAGGTGGTATAGTGGGGAATGGAGAATAATTCAGAAAAAATCTCTCCAAAGTACTTCAAATTGTGAAGTAATGAGAAGACTTTCAGCATAATGAGAAGTACTTACATGACAGTTCAGGCTAATTTCCTCAAGTTCTGGTAGTGTAGAAGCCCCACAGTGTACATCTCAGCACTGCAGCAACCTTCCAAAGGAGAGGAGTGTAGAGGAATCCACCAAGGTGCAGTGATTTGGGGGAGAGACTATGCAGCTAATAGAAGCCCCAGAGATCCCCAAAAGCTACCAGCATGATTTGAACAGTTGCTGGCTCGTCCCAAAGCATAAAAAGATATATGGAGTCTTGTGTAGGCTCAAATCTATGCTCTACTGGAGAGGAAGCCCTAGAACTACCCTCAAAATGTTTGAAGTGTGTGATGAACTTATTCAAGCTAAAACTGTAACAAAGCCTAGATACAGTGCAGCTGGAGGCTAAATTCATGCAACCCTGCATATTAGCAACTTAACAGAAGAAATAGTGTAGAGACCAAAGTTACTGCATTTTAAGATAGAAGGCCATGTTGTGTCAAGCCTGACTCCTGGACAAGCTCAGGCTGCAGAAATTTGCTTAGCCTAGATTAAAAAAAAAAAAAAAAAAAAAAAGAAGAAGAACCAGATGGGTGGGAAAGAAAACCATAACCTTGCAGAAGAGGAGAAAAACAGGATGTTCTGTAGATAAGAGAAACACACCACATCCTGCGTGGAAAATAAAGTATAGTGACCTCCTGCTGAACTCTCCCCCTCCTAGACCTAAAGCTTCTTCCCACTCTTGCTAAGACTCCAGCAACATCCAAAAGAAATATAAGATAGAGAATAGCACCAATGGAAGCCTCCCAAACCCTTAAAAAGATGGGCTTTAGAGGAGGGTCAGTGCTCTTGGTATGGAACCACTGCATTGGAGAGGTCTGAGAGTCCAGGCTCGAGCTTGCAATAAACTCCTCATGTAATTACATCGTACTCAACTCCTTAGTGATCTTTGGGGACTTCGCAATCTGGGTACAACATTTGGGGGCTCGTCCAGGATCCCCAAGACCCCAGGACTCAATCCGGAGGGGAATGACCCATTGGGTGAGTGTGTCTTTGTTGTCAATAGTGTGTCTTTGTTGTCTGTTTGATTTTGTGTAGTCTCATTCATGGATCGAACGAAAGAGTCCTTGCAAGGAAGTTCTGAATAGCCAACTGTGGGTCATGGGTGGGTGTGCTTGGAAGACATTCCAGGCCCCTCTGGGTGTCGAACAGATCGAACACAGGTCTTTCTGTAAAGATGAAGTGGGTCACTCCCACGGTTTGGTGCTGGGCTGCTGCCTTACTTTTGTTTTGTTTTTGGATCCATTTGGTGTCTTTTGTAACTGTTTGTGTATCTTTTTTTTTTTCTCACTCTCAGACTATTCCTCTTTCCTTAATGATTAAACATTTTAAAGGAGTGAAGGCATGAGCTCATTTGTCTGTAGAAGCTAAAACCTCTTTTGCCCTTACAGACACCAGAACCAATATTGGTTACCAAAAAGAAGGAGAATTCTGAAGATCCAGTTCCAAAAATATCCCACTGGATTGCTTTCTCATTAATTTTAAATTGACTTTTCCCTTGAGCAGAAAGATAAATGAGGAGTCACATTCTCCTGCAGGAAAAAAGGAACTAACTGACACAGTCTGTGTTGAACCTTGATCTGAGTTCCACTGGGGAAGGCGACTGCCTGCCTCCTTGGAAGGGAAGAGGCACACTCCCGGGATTTCCTGGGTTCCCTTCCTAGGACTTGGAGGCCAGCTCACTGGTAGAAGAACAGAAGGAAGGCAAGTGAGTGAAATCATATGTCTGAATGGTGATATTTGCTGGGTTGCTCCCTAGTTTGTCTTTGAAAGGGGCCCCAGGGAGGGAATGTATTAACCTCTTGTGTGACTGTATATATAAAAGAGACTTGGTTAGGAGAGTGAGTAGAATGAGCTATGAAAGCCATCGGTAGCCTCATCTGTGCACCACAACAAAGGGAGGGGGTGCCAGCACTTAAAGAGCCCTCCTGGCATTGTGGAGCTTGTGTGGGTCAGTCCTGCTAGCCTGTGGTTGTGCTTAAAAGGAAAGGGCAGAGCCAGGCTGGCAATTGGCACCCCACCCTTTGTTTGTCTTGTGTCACTGGACAAGGGAATATCTAATGGTCATGGGAAATTTTAATACTAAACCAACTGTTCTTAAGTGCATAATTCAGAATTTTGATAAAGACTTTGCGGTGGACTATAAGACAAAACTGCAAACTTTTGGAGGAGTTCAAGCTGCCTCCCCCTCCCTGAGTTGCTAAGATCAAAGGTGTGAAGGAGATGAGAAATGAGAACAAAATTGTTTAGCTTACTGCACTGGAGGGTGCAAATAAGAAAACATGATGAGACTCATAAAATGAAAAAGGGCTTGCACTCAGATTAAAAAGAACTAAAATAAAAAATAAATCTTTGATGGATTATAAACAGGTAGAAAACCTCTGAACTATTTGATAAATGTATCTGTTTCAATTTGAATTGAGTTCTTGTGCATTGCAAATTCTTAAATTGTGATTATAGGGTTAACTTGCTCTTTTCTGTACTCTGTTAATGAAAACTCAAGGTTAATGCTGTTCTGTTGGCAGCCAGTCAAATTTTAAAATGTAATAATCTGAGAACAACAACAAAAAAAGAGAGGATACTTTAAGATTTTAAAGGCTGAAGTTTGTTATAGAAGGTTAATAGTAAATGAGACGGTGGAGAAAAAATATTAAGAAAGCTATAGGTAAAAGAGATATACTTACCAGAAGGTTTAAGTATGTAGAAAAGGTATGTGGAGATGATTTAACAAGAAAATATGTATGTTTGCTTGTTGGTTTCAAGTTTGTTACAGAAGGTTTATTTTTATAGTAACAAAGAGCTTTCATTCCTTTTGATTCTAATTCTATAAAATCTGTTAATTGATCTGCAAAAGTATTGATTAGTTTTAACTAAAAGAGGTTCTAGGGCTGGAGGTTTATTTAACTTAATGGTGCTGCCACCTGCTTTGCAAGTGCAGGGACCCGAGTTCGATCCCCAGTACCAAAAACAAAAAATAAATGAGAGATTTTATAATTCAATTGGCCAAATACATTTGAGCATATTATAGTTTCACAAATTGTCTTACAAGTTTGTGTCTGTACAATTGTTTAAAGAATATTTGTCCAATTATATTTGATTAAAATGACAACAAGGATACTAATAATTTGTTAACTTTTTATAACCTGGTTTTATAAGTTAAAATTTTGTCAAGATAATTAAATATAAATTCAGGTCTAGATAGACTCCTGTTAATAATAAAAAGAACAGCTGCTCAGAAAAATTTATTCTGGTCATTATTCTCTAATGGCCTTCTGAGAAGATATACCCCCAGTAAACATGGCTAAATATGTTGGTATAGAATGTTTACACTGGTTGTCATTAGAAGGTTAGATTCTAAATATGTTATTGTGATATGTTTATGTTACTCATTTGCAAAATAGGATTTCTGTGAAAAAATAGTTATTAAGAGGTTCTATTAAAATGTTTTGATATCTAATTAGATTAAAGGACATAAAGTTTCATACATAAAATGATGATTATTGTTAATTTTTAGATATACTAAAAATACAAAATGATATTAAACTATTAATGCTGCTTCAGGAGACAAAATATAAAGTTTATGCTGCTTAGAGATGAAAGGACTTAAAGCAGATGAGAAAATTTTTGAGATAAAAGGTATTTACAGGATCTAGATTCTTTATATGTATAAATCTTTAAATTGCCCAGAAAGACAGTAATTATTATAGGGTAAAGAGCAAGACTCAGCATTTACACAGCTAAAACTAACTCTTTCTGCTGCCCCCTGTATCAGGGATCCTAAATGTGACCCAGACTTTTAGTTTGTACCTTACTGAAATAAATCATACTGCTTTAGGGGTGCTCATTGAAATAATAGGCCCATAGAATTAGCCAGTGATATATTTAACTTAGAGTTTAGATCCAGCTGTAAAGCGATAGTTCCCTTGTTCATAAAGCCCTGACAGCTATAATAATGCTAATTGAGGAAGCTGACCAGATAACACTAGGAAAAAATAAATTGTTGGGTTTCCCAATGCCTTTTATAACTATTAAATAACAGGACATTGATGGCTCTCAAATAATAGAGTCACATAATATCAGACCCTCATCTGTGAGAATCACCACCTATATTTTGCTCCAGTTAAAACCTTAAACCCTGCTACTTTTTGCCCTCAGAACCTGGCCCTCTGACCACAATTGCCTCAGGGTCACTGACAAATTGTTCTCCAGTCATCCAGATCTGCAGAAAGACCTGCTGCCTGAGACTGATTTTGTCCTGTTCAAGGTTGGGAACTCCTTCATGGAAAATGGGATATGCTATGCTGGCTGTGCTGAGATGACTCAAGATAAAGTGGTCCAAATGGGACTGGCCAAACATAAAGCACCAGTGTTCATTGAGATTAAACCCGGGGCTGACACTGTTGGAGTCCATCAATATCCCATGCCGCTTACAGCTTGGGAAGGAATAACTCCTCACATTAGAAATTTATTGAGACAGGGATATTAAGGTGGTGCCAGTCAGCCTGGAATACTTCCTTGTTACCTGTGAAGAAACCTAATTCAAATGACTATATACCAGTTCAAGACCTTTGAGAGGTAAATAAGAGGGTAATTGACATCCACCCTACAGTGCCTAATCCTTATACTCTCTTGAGTTCATTACCTGTCTCCCGCCAATGGTATACAGTATTGGATTTGAAAAATGCTTTTTTTAAGCCTTCCTTTAGCCCCTAAAAGCCAAGCCATATTTGCTTTTGAATGGCTGGACCCAGATGAAGAGATTAATGAACAATTGACTTGGACTAGACTGCCTCAAGGATTTAAGAACTCACCACCATCTTCATTGAGGCCCTACATGAAGACCTGGGTGAGTACCACCAACAAAATCCTCATTTAACTCTGCTCCAGTATGTAGACAATCCTCTTAGTGCAGCAGAAATAGAGGAAGCTTGTCTGGGAGGAATGAAAGAACTGTTGAAAACCTAAAGGGATCTTGGATATCGAGCATCAGCTAAAAAGGCTCAAATATGCCAGCTCGAGGTAATCTACCTGGGCTACAAGCTAAAAGCAGGACAGAGGTGGCTATCAGAAGCCTGGAAAGAGACAATACTCAGAATCCCTCCTCCAGATTCTCCTCACAAGGTAAGAGAATTCCTGGGGTTGACTGGATTCTGTCATTTGTGGATACCAGGATTTGCAGAATTGGCCAATCCCTTGTATGTGGTGACTAATGACCAATAGGCCTTCCAATGGATTGAGACTTTACAAGAGTCTTTTGAAAAAATCAAGGCCGCATTGTTGGGCATACCTGCACTGGGCCTGCCAGATGTAATCAAGCCCTTCCACCTGTATGTGGATGAGAACAAAAGAATAGCTAAGGGAGTTCTGACTCAGTACCTAAGCCCATGGTGAAGGCCAATAGCCTACCTGTCAAAAAAAAAAACAAAAAAAAAACCGACCTGGTGGCATCCGCATGGCCACCCTGTTTGCAAATGATTGCAGCAGTAGCACAAATGATCAAAGATGCAGATAAACTCTACATGGGGCAGCAAATGTATGTGGTCACCCCTCATGCCATTGAAGAAATAATAAAGCAGCCTCCAGATTGATGGCTAACCAATGCCTGGTTAACCCATTACCAAGGCCGCCTCAATTGTGCCAGAGTTATTTTTCAGCCTCCAACTGCCTTGAACCCCACCTCCCTGCTGTCCGATCCAGACATGGATACTCCACTCCATGACTGCAGAGACATACTGGCCCAGGTACACGACATCCAGGCAAATTTGAGAGACCAACCATGGCCAGATGCAGAATTGACTTGGTACACCTATGAAAGTAGCTTTATGCATGGTGAACACAGGTATGCAGGGTCGATGGTGGTGTCGGAGACTGAGATAATCTGGGCTGAGCCCCTCCCTGCCGGGACCTCAGCACAATGGGCAGAACTTACAGCCCTAACCCAGGCTTTGACTTTGGGAAAAGGAAGAGAACTAAACGTTAACACAGATATGCCTTTGCCACTGCCCATGTCCATTGGGCCATATACCAGGAAAGGGGGCTATTGGCTGCAAAAGGAAAGACTATAAAAAAATAAAGAAGAAACCTTGGCTGTTAAAGGCCCTATGGTTACTTAAGAAACTTGCTATAATCCACTGCCCAGGCCATCAAAAAAGGTGATACGTCCACAGCCAGGGGCAACAATCTAGCAGATCGAGTGGCCAAGGAGGCAGCCCTCCACATCCCCGAGATTTTGGCCCTACAACTTCCTAACCCAGGAACCCTAGCTCTCCCTGAGAAGGAGAATATTCTAACTCAGATATGATGTGGGTCAAGCAGTTGCCCACAGCTCAACTGGTTAAGGGATGGAAATTAGATGATGAAACTGTTCTCCTGCCTAAGAAGCTGGGGGACACTTGCTTTTGAATCTTCACTGATCCATCCACATGAGAGAGAGAGAGAAAAATGCAAGAACTGATCCAGTGGCCCCAAGTCAAAATAAGGAATATTTCCACTAAGGTCAAATAACTCTCCTCATCCTGCAGAGTCTGCAAAATGACCAATGAGATGCATGCCAAAGGCAACCTGGGCCACCGCCTGAGAGGAAACAGACCTAGAACCTACTGGGAGATAGATTTTACAGAGGTATAACCTGGGAGATATGGTTAAAGCGACTGATAGAAGACATCCTCCCTAGGTATGGATTCCTGGTGGCTTTAGAATCTGATAATGGGCTGGCTTTCATCTCTAAGGAGTTACCAGAAAAACCAGCAAAATTGGAATTGGCATCATAGCTACAGGATTAAAGCACAAGGACCATCCCCAGCCCTAGGTTCTGAGACGCCCCCATTCAGCAGGGAGTAGCCTAATGAAGACAGTGTCCCTGTTCCCAAGATTGGCTCCCTTAAGGCTCTTGAGAAGGGGGTAATGTATAGACCAAGTTACTCCATTTTAAGATAGAAGGCCATGTTGTGTCAAGCCTGACTCCTGGATGAGCTCAGGCGATAGAAATTTGCTTAGCCTAGATAAAAACAAACAAACAAACAAACAAAAAAAAACAAACAGAGCCAGATGGGTGGGTAAGAAAACCATAACCTTGTAGGAGAGGAGAAAAACAGGATGTTCTGTAAATAAGAGAAACACACCACATCCTGCACGCAAAACAAAGTATAGTGACCTCCTGCTGAACTCTCCCCCCCACAGACCTAAAGTTTTTTCCCGCTCTTGCTAAGGCTCCAGCAACATCCAATAGAAATACAAGATAGAGAATAGCACCAATGCAAGCCTCCCAAACCCTATAAAAAAAAAGGGCTTTAGAAGAGGGTCAGGGCTCTTGGTACGGAACCACTGCATTGGTGAGATCTGAGAGTCCAGGCTTGAGCTTGCAATAAACTCCTTATGTAATTACATTGTACTCGACTCCTTAGTGATCTTTGGGGACTTTGTGATCTGGGTACAACAAGAGCATGCCCTTTTTTGAGGGGGGCATAAATAGTATTTCCTTTAAAATCTTCTACTTGCTTATATAAAAAGTCTGACACAGATTGAAAAAATTTAAGTCATGCAAAGAAGACCTAAAGATGGGCTTTTTGAGAATTATTCAAGATTTTTAACATAACTCTGACAAATATTTATAAATTGGACAATATGAATAGATGGAAAATTTCAGCAGAGAGATGAAATGATTTAAAAGTACCAAATGATTCTTTGATGGTACATCTTGAAAGGTAAAACAAAAACAAACTACAGAGATGAAATATTTATTTGAATTATGATATACTGGATCCAGACAGTGAACTTGAAGACAGGCCATTAATAGTTTTCTACAATGAAAAAGAAAAAAATAGAGTAAAATATATAAGATTTGTGGTACAGTATATTGGTCTAGTATACAAGAGAGATTATAGGGCCACAGTTATATTTGAGACAATGACTGAGCATTTTCTAATACTGATGAAAGACATCAGTTCACCATTATAAGAAACTCAGGGAACTCTGAACAACAAAACAAAGATTTCCCCAACTTAGAATAAATTGTGGCAGGGAGCACATGGTGGAACAAAGCAACTTACCTTGTGGAAGATGGGAGGCAGAGAGAGAGGAAGGACCCAGGGACAAGATATACCCTTCCATTCAGGCCCTTGGTGAGTCCCATCCTTCAATTCAGCATCATTTCTTAAAGTTTCAACCACCTCCTCGTAATGCCTTCAAATTATGAATTCATCAATGGATTAACCCAAAAATGAGGTGAGAACCCTCAGGATTTAAATACCTTCCCTAAAATTCTATCTCTGAACACTGCTGCACTGGGGCTAAACCTTCAAGCCATGAGTCCTTGAGGACATTTCAGATACAAACCATAACATTCTCCAGGGATAGTTGAAATACCCAAATTATCTCATTTTTGGCAGAATGCAGGATAAAGAGAAGACAGCAACAGAAAAAGGAAAGAAAGAAACAGCAAAACTGTATATAAATTCTTAAAGGAAAATTTTGGGTTAGTATGCTGATTTGGAATAGCTGAAGTCACTTGTAAAAGGGAGCCCACTGTTTCTTGCAAGCTCTTTCTGTGGTACTATGCAGGCATTTAAGAGAAAGACTGAGGACATGGTAGGGGATTGAGAAAGTACTTCTATTAGATTCAGGCATAAAGGAAATTGTGGGACCCTAACCACTATGTAACCTCTAGTTAGCCAGCATATAGAAGCACACATTTCTTTCTACCCAGCTCCAAGAAGATTAAAACAGAGTGCATGGAAGCCTGGTATAGGTAAACAAGATAGTGATTCAAGGCCTCATTAGAACAGAACAGCCTGAGGTCTGGAGATGAAAGACCAAGTGCACTGTATAGCTGACTTCTTTAGATAGCAGGAAACAGACCCCCTGACCCTTGGCCCACATGCTGTGCTTGAAATCCTCTTCCCTTGCCTTTAAAAAACTGTGCTAACCCCTGTGCTGGGCCTCTCTAAGCTGCCCAGTTCTGAGAGTGCTATCTGGCCAGACTAATAAAGGTCTATTTACCAACAAGCCTGGTGTGTTCCTTCCTGGGTGACTCTCGCTGCTAGTTGAGCTCCTGGAGCCTTGCTGAGCTATTGGCCCCAGCATCTTGGAGGCCCTTTGGGCTGTTCAAGGCTTCTGGAAGTAAGGCCCTGGGTCTTGTATTTAGAGTTATCCTTGGGCTATAGGACTTAGCATCGTGAAGGCCCTTTCTGTTGTTCACACTCCTCAGAGAGGAAGTGAGACTTTAGGTCTTATATATTGGAGTCCCCAGCGAGATAGCCTGAGTGGGAACTGTAAATCTGGCCGAGACCTCTCTGTAGCAGATCTGGCAGGAGATTTTCAAACATAGACCTGAAAAGCCTCCAGAGGTGAGCTTTGGACTGGTTACAACTGTCTGTTTGTCAGGATCGAGGTAGCTGATGAGCTGGGAAGCCTTCTCTGACCCCAGCCCTGATGAGGATTTCCAGGTAGAATCAAAGTTTTTTTGTGGCACCTGTTTGTCTTGTCTGTGTCCTGTCTGTTGAGTGTTAACTTTGCATTCATTCCTAGGGACAAGATAGGTGGATCCAGTTCCAAGAACACCCCACTAGATTGCTTTCTCACTAATTTTAAATTTTTTTCCCACCTGAGCAAAAGGACGAATATGGAGTTAAATTCTCTCATGGAAAGCTTCACTCCCTTTATCAATTGGAGGGGACAACCAAGGGCTCCTTTGAGCCAGGCCTCTGTTGGGCTGTATGGGGAAAAGTCACCAGGTACAACAGCCACCCTGACCAATTTCCTTATATAAATATTTGAGTCCATGCTTGTAAAGAGCATCCAGCTGTGTTGTCTGGGAAGGAAAGGGATAACTGACACAGCCCATATTGGGCCTCAGCCAGAGTCCTGCTGGAGGTAGCAACTGTCCACCTCCTTGGAAGGGAAGAGGCATGCCCCAGGATTTTCTGGGTTCCCTTTCTAGAACTCAGAGGCCAGCTTTCCAGTAGCAGAACAGAAACAAGGCAAGTGAGTGAAATCATCTGTCTGAGTGGTGAGATACCCTGGGTTGCTCCCTAGTTTGTCTTTGGAAGGGGCCCCAGAGAGGGAATGTGTTAATTTCTTGTGTGACCATGTGTGTATGAAAGAGATTTGGTCAGGAGAGTGAGTGGAACAACCTACAAAAGCCATCAGTAGCCTCATCTGTGCACAAAAACAAAGGGAGGGGGCTCTTGCGCTTAAAGAGCCCTCACAGCTTGTGTGGGTTAGTCCTGCGAGTCTGTGGCCATGCTTAGAAAGGACAAAATGGAGACTCTTGTGATGAAAAATTCTCCTTTAGTCTGAGAGGGCCTGAAAGAGCTGGAAAGCTCAGAGCCAGGCTGATGAGTGAATGAGGCCATTTTCTGAAACAGCACCCCACATTTTGTTTGTCTTGCATCACTGGACAAGGGACTATCTAGCGGTTGTGGGGAATGCTAATACTAAATCAACTGTTCTTAGGTGCATAATTCAGAGTTTTGATAAAGATTTTATGGGGGACTATGAGATAAAACTGCAACCAAAGATGCTTAAGAAACGTGAGTTATCATGGTCTCAGCTAAGCCAGACTTGGCCCCCATGGGGGGAAAAAACTTTAGACAAAAGGAAAGTTATCTGTCTTTGTTTTGTTTACCTAAGACTTTGACAACTTGGAGCCTTGTGTGCTCTAGGAGCTGCTTAAGCTTCTGCCCCGCAGTAATCAGCTGCTAGTGAGAACTATTTAGTTTTGGTCTTAGAACAATTGCTTGCCAAATCTGCTGTTTTCCCGTGGTGAACTTGCCTCTCTCAGAAAATGTGACATTGTTGCAGGCAAATACCAGTGTTTCCCCTTTGGAGGAGGTGCCGCCCCCTCCCTGAATTGCTAAGGTGTGGAGGAGGTGGGGGGCAAAACCAAGATTGTTTAGCTTTACTGCACTGCAGGGTGCAGATGGGAAAACATGATGGGACTCAGAGAAGATAAAATAGGGCTTGCACTCAGATTAGAAAGAATTAAAATAAAAAAATAAATCTCTAATGGATTAAAATCAGGTAGGAAAACTCTGAAAGACAAAATAGAAAGAAAAAACACTGCAATTGTGTTTTACCAGACATCAAGAGATTTTTAAAAGAAAAAACAAGTTAGACATTTTAACTATTTGATAAATGTATCTTTGTTTCAATTAAATTAAGTTTAATTGGTGTGCTTAAAACACTTTTTTGTGCATTGCAAATTCTTAAATTATGATTATAGGGTTAACTTGCTCTTTTCTGTACTTTGTTGATAAAAACTCAAGGTTAATACTGTTCTATAGGTAGCCAGTCAAATTTTAAGATGTAACAATTTGAAAACAGGAAAAAAAAGAACACTTTAAGATTTTAACAGCTGAAGTTTGATATAAAAGGTTAGTAGTAAATGAGACAGAGGAAAATATTTAAAAAGCTATGGCTAAAAGAGACACACTTTTGATATAAAAAGATTTTGTATGTTTGTCTTGTTAAAAAGAGATAAAGAAAGATATATAAGACCAGAAGGCCTAAGTATGTAGAAAAAGTGTATGAAAATTCTTTATGTATATTTGCTTTTTGGTTTCAAGTTTGTTACAAAAGGTTTACTTTTACAGTAACAAAGAGCTTTCATTCCTTTTGATTCTAATTCTATGAAAGATCTGTTAATTGACCTGCCAAAGTTTTGACTAGTCTTAA